ATCGGATCGGGGAACGGGAGCAACGGTCTTCGTAAATAGGGAGCTTAAGCATTTCTCTGCCGTCCTCTGCAAAACAACAACGTGAAATGACCAAGTTCTGCATAGTTTGAGGAACGCAAACGGCGACGGCTAATTTTTCGTATTTCCATTTGGAATTGAACGCTGCCATTGCATATTTAGCCTGAGCACATTCTTAGAGCCATTGGCGTACTCAAAAGATATAGAGATTTGCGAATGTCTTTGATAAAAAAGTAAATATATTTTTTACTAGGCGCCGTCCTCGGCGTCACGTAAGCTCCTTAGTAGGGATTGTAAGGAAACACGACGCAACGCTGAGGACAACATCGATTAAAATATGATTTTATATTTTTCCTACGAATCTCGCGATACACATAAGTCATTTCTCTTTGTTTCTTAGTGTCAAAACTATCACGAAACTGAATCTGGGACAGGGGAAAATATTAGAAATAACAAGAAGAAAAATAGTCGTCGTGATTAACGTTCTCCGCACAACGCAGAATTTGGTCATTTCACGTTGTTGCTTTGTAGAGGACGGCGAAGAAATGTACCAAGAATTATAACGCACGTGCAAAGCCACTGTTCTGCTCATTAAACCTTTTAGTTAGCGACGTACCCATTACCGTTGCCTTAGTGGTTTTCTTAAACTCCCCAATAAGTGACAATAGTCGAACGCGGTCTTCGGACATGGTTGGGTAGTATATACGGAAAGTCTGGCACTTCCAAAACGAAGATAATTTTATGGAATTCACCTAAGAACTATGTTCAATCTGCAAGTTCCGTGCAAAAAGAAGGTTACATTAATATTTGCTCATATTCTATATTTCTAATTGTAAACTCCTGGTTTTAACTGTTTTAATTATACTTTTCTATATATATTGTTTGCGAATGAATGCAGTCTGTATGACATGTGATCCAAAAATTAACATCTCTGTTTTTGTAGCTATGGTCTATAGAGTTCTCTGAAACAAGTTAAAACCAGTGCGCGGAAAGCCTCTTCGACGTATGCGGAAGGCTAATGCTGTCCGTCTCTCTGCTGAGACCTGTGAAATGAATGAAGAAAACTAAGATTATACCAGATAAAAAGAGGAAAGACAAGCGGTAGCCTGGAATGTCAGTCATCACCCACCCT